TCTCGTGTCCGCTTACTGCCCCCCCCCCCTAGGATTTTGCTCAGGCTACGGCCCTGATATGTGGTAATTACGCTGTCCTTCATCCCTTGCGTTAGTCTACATTTTGCTGGGAATTTTTTTAATCTGTGCGTACAATTTTTAAAGGTCTGGTTACGCCCCTGAAAGGTAAGCACAAAATTGCAGATAAATGGGAAAATGAACCATACATTGTTTTAGCTCAACCAAATAGTGAAATCCCTGTGTATGTTGTTCAGAAAGAAAATTAAAAAAATGAAAAACGTGTGTTACACAAATTTATTACTTCCAATTTCTGAGCTTCCTATATCATATGCAATAAGACCCATACCTAGAAAAAGAACTTCCAAGCCAGACACAAATAAAACGGTAGATGCAGACTGTTCATCAAAGTCCGATACAGAAAGTGGAGACAGTACAAGTGATGGTGAAGATAGTTTTTCCTCTCCTCGAGGAGGGAGAAGGTAATGAAACAGATGACGTGAGAGAAGTATCTTCAGAGAGTAGCGAAGCTAGTGATGTTCAAATGCAAGAGAATATCACTGTTGACCGACCAACTCCTGCTCCACAGAGGAGTGCTAGACAGTAGAAAAGAGAAGGACACCATATTTGGGCAGTGATCAAACCTACATCATACCAAGGATGACTCCTTTCAGACTGAAGTATTTGCAAATGTAATTTTTTTTTACCAGAAAGTTCATTGTCAATTTAATTATGTGCCCATCCTCCTTAACCTTAGAAAACAGACTACTCACTTTCTTGGTGCCTCTCTCTTTTCTGGTGATCGTGGTTTTCCTTTCCTAACAGGTGATCTGCTCCTTGATCTTTCTCTCCTAACAGGGGACCTTGACCTTTTTCTCTTTGGTGATCTCCCAGATGTTCTCACTGGTGACCTAGACCTTGATTTTCGGTCTTTTCTTGAGTGCAGTTCTTTTTTATGTCTTTCTTTATCAGGTGATTTGTGTCTGCCTTTCTGTAAGATATATTACATTGAAACCATTGAGCCCAATTATAAATGTAAGAACTTCTGACTGTGGAAAGACAAAGATACGAATAATCTAACGTAAATATGCAGTAACATAAATATTTCTTGAAATTGTTCACTTATGGAACTTTTGAAGCGGTCAAAAACTGGAATAAGTTAGCAAAATAAAAATATTTTTCTGAAATACAAACAGAACACATGCTTTCATAACTTTACAATTGATGCAAATGCTTATTCAGAGATTTCAGAAGAACCACAACATACAAAGAGTCCATAATTCTTCCCTCTTCCGGACATTTCTTCTTCAGTGCTATAGCCGTCTCTGTGACGTTGCCTTGTATCCTCTTCTGAATGTTTTTTTCTCTGTTCACTAACTTTAGGACCACCTTCATGCTGAGGTTTTCTTTTGTCCTTACTATCATTTTTATGTCTGTTGTCACTTTTAATTTTTTCCTTGCGATTTAAAATGTCTAAGTAAGTTGAGACTAAGTCATCATCACTTTCACTTGTGTCTGAGCCAGATCTGGACTTGTGTTTTTTCTTTTTCTTTTCTTTCTTTTTCTTCTTTTTATCTTTCTTTTGGGATTCAACCTGTAAAAAGAGAGAGGTACCGATACCTTAACTATCAACAAAAAGTATCAGACTAAACATTTTCCACTACACACAGGGGCAGATCCAGAGCTATTTATTGACAGTCTTCCAAATTATCTTTGTTGATTCATCCTCCAATTCTGATTGTCTTCCAACAGGAAAAATTGGATACCCTTCAATGTAAACTTGAAAATCTGACCGTCTTCCGGAGGACCCAGAAGACGGCCTAAATCCCCCCCTGACACAACAAAAAGGTGCTTACTCCTGTAATATGTTAACTATTGGAATTCTTTAGATGAACTTCAACATGAAGATGAAGTCATAACTTTTGAAAATTCTTAAAACCAAATACATACCATCTTTTGCAATTGTTTCATCTTGACAGGATTTTCAATAATTCTTTTCCTCTGTTCCTCTTCTTTTTTTCTACAAACAAATAAAATGTAAAAAGAAAGTTACAGATTACTTTTTCAAAGCCATAGTGCTCTGAAAGTAACTTGCAATAAAAATGCTAGCAAAAAAGGTTTACATCCATTTATTTTCTCTTTTTTGTTATCTTTCATATTTATAATGTACAATTTGGTAAAATTACTAAATCTACCTTTATCTTAGCCAATTTAAGTAAGAAGAAAAGACTGGTGTGAAAATCTGTTCAGTCAAAGGGACTGGCAGCAATTTTAAGAACAGCCCATGTAGAATTTACAGTCAGTGTGGCAAAAAGTCCCTCAGGCCAGCAATTTTTTTTCATAACTGTAGGACAAATGTCTAACTGTTTTACACAGTTTTCAGCATGCTTGTGTGTGTGTGAGTGAATGAGTGAGTGAAAGCTGAGAATACAAAGTGGAGTATATTACCTTATGGCAAAGAGAGGATCTTCCCTCATTTTAGCTTGCATGTCAATCTGTATGTTATGTGCTGCTGCCTCCTCAAACAGGGCTCCAACACTGTCTGGAATTAAGAACAAATATTTCAATATTTACTTGCTTAGTTGTAAATCTAGCTTTTGAAGTTAAAAATAAACAAGGCAGCAAAGCTGTCAAATGTACAGACAAAAAGCAGGAAATAACAAAATAGGCTACTGTCAATTCTGATGCAAAAGTACATTATGTTAAACTGCAAAGCCAAAAAGTAAAACTGTCTTCCACTTATGGTGTTAACGCTAAAAGTGCACGGCGACGGCGACGGCGACATGATCGGCGACGACAGACGCAGGTGATGGCAATATGTACAGACACATCTGTGTCTGTACATAAAAATCTGCAACCATTTTCTTCAATAATTCATGTTAACCATCAATATTATCAATATTTCTCTTAAACTCAAAAATGTAATGTCTTTTGGTTGCACACAAAACTGTGGTGAATGTGCATGTATACATTTTTTTTTGTTGTTGTTGTTGTTCATAATAATCATTTGATTTTGATTTTGAATCTTGTCCAAAAAGCTCAAACACCAAGAACCTTCAATCAATATTTTGATAGAAAATGAACATATTCAAGAGAAAAATGTCAGTAGTCAATACCATAGATCAATAACTTCATAAACGAAGACTTATTTTGACGGATCTACAATTTAATTACAACATACCATTCTTTGCTTCTTCTTTCTCCTTATCAATATTATCAATTCTTTTTCCAAGGAGGTATTCTTCTGATTTTGGTTTACCATCTGAGTACATCCAGTCAATTTTCTTGTCTGATTTTCTTACAGAAGAAAATTAAAACAATATTAAAACATATACATCACAAAGTCATATGCAACTTGTAAGAAAGTTCAGATATAACAGACAACTGAACAAGACCTAAAATATAGATAAAGCCACATGATATAATAAAACTGACTACAAGATGAAACAACCCGTCTGAAAATAGATACTTTTTTTATAAGTGCTTTAGCATATGTGCTATCATTTTTTCCTTCTTTCAATTTAAATTAAAATGTGTCTAAAAATACCACTCTATAAAAAAATACCAATTTGTTTACATAATATCAACAACTAGACATACTTACAAACCTTCAATGGGCAAAATAATCTTTTAAACTGCACACAATGACAGTCAAGTTACTTACTCATCATTCTTCAGCAAATCTTTAATTTTTCTCAACTCATCTTCAGACAGTTTTTTCCCCTTCAGTAATTTTTCCATGGCAAATATAGAAAAAAATTGCAGTGCTGTCAAACTTGGCAGTCTTTGTACCTGAAAACAAGCAAGCCTGAGTTAGCTGTGCAAATCGATCTACAGTGTACAGTGTATAGTGCAACTGTGTACAGTGTATAGTGCAAATTTAATTGTTACTGTAAGCAGCCACTAGTACATCAGCACAAGGGCGGTTTTGACAAAAGGAGGAGTGATGTGTAGTAGTAGTAGGGAATGGGGAGAAAGGACTTTTAAAGTAATAGTAGACAAATGCAGTTGTGCCGCGGTAGTAACTTCACTAATTGTTTGTGAAATAGGGATCTGCTTAATTATTAAACGTTCTTCATACGAAATCGTTACTCACTTACTGCAATTGTTTTCGATTCTAACCGACCACAAATTTAAATAGCTGAGTACTGTGCTTTATATCTACTTTTTCTTTCCTCGTACTTCGTTCTTCAAACAACGTGCACCGCTAAACGTCATCAATTGTGTACACGAAAATCCATGACGTATCACACACCTGTCTCAAAGTAGTAGACGGCGGACACGTTGCACCATACTTTGAAATATTTATTATATCAGGCAGAGATTTACGCATTTTAGAAATATGTCATCACAAGAAGATCTTAAAGCAGGCCATGCCCCAGCAGGTGATATAAAATGTTTCTAATGACAAATATTTGTTGACTGCTGTTAGTGTTTTTGTCAATGGTTCATTCATATTTACACTGTCCTTGGTTGACTTTTCGGCTAAGGGTCTACGACCAATTTTAGAACGGCTTAGCACGAGCGCTCAGCAGCAAAGCCTTTCCACCATATGTTACCGTTATAAACTCATGAAATCCACCCGCTTTTCTGTCAGAGTCCATGTTTTCAGTTCTATTTACCAGTTTTATTTATTATTATTATTATTTATATGCAAAATTAATGTCCATAGATGATATATATTTTAATTGATAATGAAGAAGACTAGAATATGCACAAAAGCTAACAAACAAAACAGCAGCCAATAAGATGTAGAAGGCTTAGATTGGCCTTAAGATAAATATAAATATAAATGCAATCCTGAACCTTCACAGCATTTGTTTTATGTTATAAATTTCAGTACTAGTGAATTGAAGATAAACTGATATGTTGTCACAAGCTGTATCGCATTTTCCTGCACAAACATGAATATTCCATTTGTCAGCATCACTACTTATCAGCTGGCTTATATTGTTTATTATCTTATAGTGAAAGCTGGTGGTATGCGTATTACACAACACAAGAGCCCTGCTGCCTCTGGCGCCACACCAGAGAAAAAATCTGAGGAAATAGCTGCTGAAGAGGAAGAATATGGAAGGTAGATTTCACCATAATGTGGAGAATTTGTTGTTCAGGACTTCTTAGAGTTCATTTTATTCATGGAAGTCTAGGAAATCTAGAAAGAATTCTTGGCACTTAANATAAAACCCTATTTTTCAGATGAATTTTTGGTTGATTAACCCCCCAAATTGTGACTGCCCATATCTCTGTAGGTAGGGATTTTTTTCAGGAAATATTGCAGCCTCAGATATTGTTCATATAAAAGTTCAAACACACCAAATATGGTGTAAATCCGTTCACCCCCGCCTTGCCGCATTTTCTACATTTGGTCTGGTTTTCTCGTGGACACACACTTAACTATCAATATTTCTCTCAATAAACTCAAAAATGTAACATCTTTAGGTTGCACACAAAACTGTGGTGAATGTGCGTGTATACATATTTTTGTTGTTGTTGTTCATAATAATCATTTTCATTTTGAATCTTGTCCAAAAAGCTCAAACACAAAGAATAGAAAATGAACATATCTGAGAGAAAATGTCAGTAGTCAATACCATAGATCAATAACTTCATAAACGAAGACTTATTCTGATGGACCTACAATTTAATTACAACATACCATTCTTTGCTTCTTCTTTCTCCTTATCAATATTATCAATTCTTTTTCCAAGGAGGTATTCTTCTGATTTTGGTTTACCATCTGAGTACATCCAGTCAATTTTCTTGTCCGATTTTCTTACAGAAGAAAATTAAAACAATATTAAAACATATACATCACAAAGTCATATGCAACTTGTAAGAAAGTTCAGATATAACAGACAACTGAACAAGACCTAAAATATAGATAAAGCCACATGATATAATAAAACTGATTACAAGATGAAACAACCCGTCTGAAAATAGATACTTTTTTTATAAGTGCTTTAGCATATGTGCTATCATTTTTTCCTTCTTTCAATTTTAATTAAAATGTGTCTAAAAAATACCATTCTATAAAAAAATACCACTTTGTTTACATAATATCAACAACTAGACATACTTACAAACCTTCAATGAGCAAAATAATCTTTTAAACTGCACACAATGGCAGTCAAGCTACTTACTCATCATTCTTCAGCAAATCTTTAATTTTTCTCAACTCATCTTCAGACAGTTTTTTCCCCTTCAGTAATTTTTCCATGGTAAATATAGAAAAAAAATTGCAGTGCTGTCAAACTTGGCAGTCTTTGTACCTGAAAACAAGCAAGCCTGAGTTAGCTGTGCAAATCGATCTACACTACAGTAGTACAGTTGCACTACAGACACGTAAACATCAACTTTCAATTTAATTTCTTTTGCAATTTTAATTTATCAATATCTCAATCATCATGACGCAAAATTAACGAAGCGAAAGTGTTACTGTAAGCAGCCACTAGTACATCAGCACAAGGGCGGTTTTGACAAAAGGAGGAGTGACGTGTAGTAGTAGGGAATGGGGAGAAAGGATTTTAGTAATACTATAGTAGACAAATGCAGTTGTGCCGCGGTAGTAACTTCACTAATTGTTTGTGAAATAGGGATCTGCTTAATTATTAAACGTTCTTCATACGAAATCGTTACTCACTTACTGCAATTGTTTTCGATTCTAACCGACTACAAACTTAAATAGCAGAGTACTGCGCTTTATATCTACTTTTTCTTTCCTCGTACTTCGTTCTTCAAACAACGTGCACCGCTAAACGTCATCAATTGTGTACACGAAAATCCATGACGTATCACACACCTGTCTCAAGGTAGTAGACGGCGGACACGTTGCACCATACTTTGAAATATTTATTATACTAGGCAGAGATTTACGCATTTTAGCAATATGTCATCACAAGAAGATCTTAAAGCAGGCCATGCCCCAGCAGGTGATATAAAATGTTTCTAATGACAAGTATTTGTTGACTGCTGTTAGTGTTTTTGTCAATGTTTCATTCATATTTACACTGTCCTTGGTTGACTTTTCGGCTAAGGGTCTACGACCAATTTTAGAACGGCTTAGCACGAGCGCTCAGCAGCAAAGCCTTTCCACCATATGTTACCGTTATAAACTCATGAAATCCACCCGCTTTTCTTTAAGAGGCCTTGTTTTCAGTCCTGTTAACCAGTTTTATTTATTTATTATTATTATTTATATGCGAAATTATTGTCCATAGATGATATATTTAAATTGAAAATGAAAAAGAATAGAATATGCACAAAAGTTAACAAACAAAACAGCAGCCAATAAGATGTAGAAGGCTTAGATTGGCCTTAAGATAAATATAAATATAAATGCAATCCTGAACCTTCACAGCATTTGTTTTATGTTATAAATTTTGAGTACTAGTGAATTGAAGATAAACTGATATAATGTTGTCACAAGCTGTATCGCATTTTCCTGCACAAACATGAATATTCCATTTGTCGGCATCACTTCCTATCAGCTGGCTTATATTGTTTATTATCTTATAGTAAAAGCTGGTGGTATGCGTATTACACAACACAAGAGCCCTGCTGCCTCTGGTGCCACACCAGAGAAAAAATCTGAGGAAATAGCTGCTGAAGAGGAAGAATATGGAAGGTAGATTTCACCATAATGTGGAGAATTTGTTGTTCAGGACTTCTTAGAGTTCATTTTATTCATGGAAGTCTAGGAAATCTAGAAAGAATTCGTGGCACTTAAATGTTATTAGCTTGTGATATATGCATTTGTGCATAATCATTTACAGTCAATTGGTATAATGTTTTAGGGAATTAGGAGTCAAGTTCTAACACTAAATTTTTTATTTTGTTTTAGCGAACCTAAAACTGATAAACATCATCAACAGGTATTGGTGTCAGGAGCTGTAACAAAGGTATGAGTGCTCGCTATCCAAATGAATCAGTATATTGTTGAGGAATTTAAAAAATATTTTGTTTTTTTATGTAGACTTGGAACAGTTTAAATGAAAATGTATCGATTTGCAAATCTGCATATAAAACTAAATTACAATTACTATGAATGGTAAAGTTATCAGTTTAATCCCAATAACGTCACAGGCAGTGTTAATCTTAGATTTTTAGATTGATCTATCCCTGTGGGGAGTCTCACTAGATTACTGTCAGCTTGGCCGACTTAAGCGTCTGTCCTGCCTACTAAAAGCTGTAAGGGAGTAATTAACTATGGTGTCCGCTCGGCTGACTGCAATTTAGCCTGAACCCCCAGGGAGTTAGGTCGATCTAAAACTTAATCTTTAGATCGATCTAAATCTCTGGGAAAGCACCCATAATGATAATTCAAGTGGCAAAGGCATTCCTACAGTATGCTTAAGTAAACATAAAAGGAATTAAACTTTTAAAAAATCTTTCATTGAAACGTTTTAAATATTTGTTTCAGGGTGATAAAGATTTCACTACCGAAGCTGTGAAGGCCATCCATGAGAAACCACGCCCTGCAAAGGATGCACGACCAAACCACCCCCATGTCCACAACATCAACCAGCCAAGGAAAATGTAGTCATCTGGGTGCTGTACACTATATGTAACTGGAATCATGATGTAGGACAAAAAATTAAAACAGAAAGGATGCCATATATGACCAGCTGAATAACTGATCATCACTCGAACTTGTATTTTTATGAAGACTGAAAGTGCTCAGGGTCAAGTGCAAGACCTGGTCATAACAGTAGTGCGTTAAGTTTGAAGAAAATATATTAATTGCTTATGATTTTCTTTTGATTTAAGTAAATGAAAATACATAAATTTAATGAGGGGTCTTTCTGTGGTAAAGATGGCATTTTTCACAGATTTAGGCTTCGTTCACATGCAATGTCTATTTTCTAAATTCTATTTTCTATTCGCTCTATCTTATGATCACGGTCTGTGCACTGAATATCCCGCCGCGTAATTACTGGCAGCGCGAGCCATTTACTTATAGTAACTTATAGTAACTGGCTCGCGCTGCCAGTAATTACGCCGCGGGATATTCAGTGCACAGACCGTGATCATAAGACATACCGAAAATAGAAAATAGACATTGCATGTGAACGAAGCCTTACTCCATGATAAATCTATAAAATTTATCCAGTTAAATGAGCTTTTTCCACAATATTTTATTTTCTTTAGAATGTTTAGTATGAGCAGTTTATGTTTGCCTATGTCATTTTAAAAGAGGATGTTTTTGAGAGTTCTTATCTTATAACTACTGTGTTTGAACTACTGTTGGAATTTTGGAGAAGATGAAATTTATGTAAAACATATTTGTTGAGGATAATAAGAATGTATATGTGGAATTGTGCAAGTGATATTTAAAGGTGTTTTTCATATACACTCACATGCTAAAGTTGTTAGCAAGTGATGTTTTCACACGCTTATTTTCGTCTACTGAATGCAAATTGACCGTGAAATGACAGCATTTCCAAGTGTACAGGTAAATGGTGTGGACATGTTTTTTATTTTCCCTTTCATACAGTTTAGTATGTACTTAATTCATTTCTTCATAAAGTTTTTGAATTGTGTCACTTTTTCAAAAACCATGGTAAGGTTTGATACGTAACACAACAAATAAGGGGAAACTATATCCAATGCTTAAAATCATATTAAAACTAGATTTGCTCCAAGGTCAAGTTGCTATCCTGATTTTGAATTAAGATTCGTCAAACAAACATTGCATATAAAGGAAATGATTATTGGTATAACATGATCTGGGACCCATCAGTAAGTTTGTGTTAGATACAAGATATTTGATGTAGCACTATAAGATAATATTACCGTAGGCACGCGTACTAGTACAACTATACGCTCTTTCGAGTATAGGTCGACTTTTGACCATTACAAATTTGAATTTGTTTTCGAAGAACTAGAACCCGTTTTATGGTTATATTCCTATGTTGAGGGACGTTGCCTTTAACGGGAAATTTCGATAATTACTTATTTATATTTCACACATGTATTACATGTATAAAACAATTCCATACGACCATTCTTGAAATCGAAGGCGCAGAAGCTTGGTCGAAACAGTTAACTTTTGAATTATGTGAAAGTTTCTGATGTCTACGGTGTGTAAATCAGGGAAACAAATAACTAGTTAAGTATGTTTTTCGTTGTACGCTATGATCGCCTGGCACTTTTTCAATAAAATATGGCGACACTGGAGAGTTTGTGTTTTACTCTGCGCGTTTGGTTCCTGATGTATGATCACATATACACTCATTCTCAATATAAAGGTCCATTTAATATTTTTTATTTTATTTAAAGTGAACGAGCTAAAGAATTGTTTGTTCAAGCGGACTTCTACTTACATCAGTCTATAGTAACTTCAATAATTATTAACAGATTTATCTGTTCTCGCACAAAAAAATAAACGTCACTTTGTTACCGTACGCGTCACTCGCAACACCATTTTACATTCTCCGATTATTTTTTACTTTTGATTATTTATTTGTTTGTTTTACTATAGTAGAAAATCTACAACGTGTCAGGAAGCGAGTCTGACCTCTCAAAAAATGTCAGTGGCAGTGGGAATCTGTGTTCAGATTGACTGCATCGAAAGCATCGCGTATTGCGAATAGCGATATCACATAGAGGCTATAAGGTATTATATGGGGCGAGTATGGGCGAGTTATGGAATCGAGACACTCTCGTGGTCGCAATGCGCGATGCTTTCGAGTTACGGGACCCAGGGATTCTTTCTACCAGAGGCCAGCTGAGTGTTGACGTCAATCCTATGCAAAATTTCTCGCCCGACAAAAAAGTGCGAGGAATTAACCAGAGAAATATCTGTGAAAAATCAAACTGTACGTGGCCCTGGTAGAGTCCTGTTACATTTTCCCCGGCCCATAATAATCTTGTCCTTATCTTACAAGCCTGGTTTTGAGAGATTATTTCTAAAAAAGGTAAAAAAAAGTAGACACAATTTTAATTTATTTCATTTCATCAATGTCATTGTCAGTTTCACAAAATGACCGAATAGCCCGCACACGAACCATTAGCGGGAATCGTGATTCTATAAACTGATACCAACTGAATGACAAAGCAGATTTAATTCTAAATGAACATATAGATTTCTAGCATAATAGACAAGGATATTATCTTTTTTAACTTGAACACTGTGAAAGTGCTGGGTACGATTATGAAACGTCTTTATTGATGCATATTGCAGTGCCGAGAAGAACGGCATCTGTGACGTGACGACCACAGGGTGCACAGAGTTGACAGTGACAGGATTTCATTAGTCATAAAACCACAGCTAGAGATTTAGGCTCTGTCGCAGCCGTGTGAAGTTTTGCACGTCCGCAGTGTCCTCAGCAGGGTAAGGTTGCTGTGTTGCATTACCACACCCCGCGACTGACAAGGAACGCGCAGAGGGCCTCCATCATGGAAGCGCGCACACACCATCCACCACCTCGCGCACCCTGTGGCGGAGGATAAAGGTACACCAATGATGTGGAGTCGAGTGCAGGGTATTGATGACGAAAGACGGCGGGCGGGCAGGAATGTCTGGATCATCGTAAGAGGTGTCGAAGGAAAGTTGGGAGACAATGTCCACATCTCCCGGTCATGCTGTACACTGAGGTCGGCAGCCAAGAGATTGGCGCGGTCACAAACATGGTACTCGGACGATTATCTAATGCCGAAACCTATGCTCTTGGGAACAGGTGGTTTGCGAGACAGTTTTCGTCAGATGATGTGAAATACTGATGCCATAAATTTTCGAAAGCTTTTTTGTCCAGCTTTAGGGCGCCATTCTGCAATAAAAAAACGTCGCTTAATGCAAAAGACATATATGGATAAAGTTTGTGGAATGTTCTGGAACAACTAACAAAATAAACGACTTAACAAAGATAAGAAACATTCTCCATATCTTTTTCAGAGAATCGGTTTAATGAAATACAATGTGCAGATTTAATCATTTATAAATCTCTGCCAAGATGTCCAGGATTTTTTAAAGGGGGGGGGGTCCGAGGATGCAAAGCCCTCTGAAGGGCCACGAAAATTTTTGGTATCTTAGAGGGCGAATGGTGCCATTTGGTGCGGTTTAGAACTTTGATTCATCTAGTCAAAATTCTTATTTCAAGGACCCCCTGACCCCTCCCCCCTCTAAATCCGCCACTGCGCAATATCGTTTGCATGTTTCACAGCATTCTGTCGGTATATTTCAAATAATGACTGCTTACATTGGTAAACTTTTGGAAGGCTTCTTTGCACTTGGCATCAGAGACTCCATACTGTTGAAATGCTTTCACGTACTCCCCTTCGTCGACGATGCCATCACCTGATAACATACACAACGATAAGCGTTTAGATGATTCAAACTCTTCAAACAAAGCTCCATCACGTGGCATAATCTAAATACGTCCTTTTGATTTTACTTTCCATTTCATTAGAATAAAATTTTACCACAACCGACCTTAATAATGTATAATGAAGAAGGAACGAAAATGTTGAAATATTTGACTATCAGCTTTTTTAAAAAAAAAGTTATGAACACAGATACTCATAGTAACATTACCTGATGTGTCAGTAACGTCAAACATGAAATTCATGTAATCGTTCAGCCATTGGGGGAATTTATCCTTAGAAGTGGCCTCCTTCATAACATCGTCCCACATTTTAAACCATTCATCGTGAGACACTTCGTTATCCTATTGGAATAGATGACATAGGTTATGCTATATACTATATGTTGTCAGTTCTTTTTTTATACAGTTCAGTCATTCTTTTGAGGGTTCCAACTTCTCAGTCTCAGTACCGGGGGAAATGATAATATCATCTGCCATAAATATTCAAACTAGGATTTGATTCGATGACGGGTGTACTATTCCATTTGTTGAACAATAAACTGCGGTCAAGTAATCAACATACTACATTTATCTCTCTAGCTCTCACTTTACTTACAAAATTTTCGTCAGCATATTTGATGAGACCTTCCCAGATCGTCTTCAAAGTAGACAGGCCAGAAGTTCTCTTCTCATGGGTTTCTCCCCAGCCGTTCACAGCGCTGATTTTCTATTGACATACGAAACACCCAGAACATGAATGCATCTTTGTAACCGAACTTTGAGTTACAAAAATATATAAAGACTATCAGTAATAAGAAATTATCTTTCAACGAATATTACTCACATACATGTATTTAAGAGGCACTATGATTTAGTTCCTCTGTCATAAAATTTAAGTCCATAAGTTTGATATTTGATATATATAATTTTCTCAACATATCTGTGTGTAAGGCATACTAATGGAACAGACAAAAAACGCCAATCAAACTTTCTACCACCTACTTCAATGAATTCGGTGAAGTCAGCCCACTCGATTTTGCCATCTCTGTTGATATCTGTGAAATAAAGCACATACATGTAAACAAGTTATGGCTCCTGCCCCCATTATTCCGTATTGACCATAATGCACATCCACGACTTAAGCTACGGCTCAATCAAATCAAAGAAATATATTTTGAAAAAGAAATGTTGAGCGGACATTTAGCCCCAGTCTCTTACCATAGAATGTCGTAAACATGCTCTCCAACTTCGACCTCTGGCATGGTGAAAGCGCCATTTTTTCTCTGCAAAGAGACACAATTTCTTTTAAGGTGCAAAAACTACGACTTTATCTTCAAACCTGTAATCAATAGTCCATATTACATGAGAGGACAACAGCCGTTTAGGTGATGAAGATCTGCAACACAAGTGATACTCCGGTTCATCAGATTGTTGCCATAGAAAATATAAAGATCGGTCTTAAGCGCCAAACTCGAAAACATATTCCGTAAAGATGATATCATCACATATTTTGTTGAGTGTCACACCAGCATGGTTCCTATTGCGATATTAAAGCAGATGTTTGTTTGTAAAAACTGCGTAAGCAGGGAACTCGAAGATACATTGTCTTACCTGTATGGATATAGTCCGGATCCTCAGAAAATGAAGCAAGGTTTGCAGTTAGCCCCTAGGTTGAGCTTGTCGTGACAACTAAAGGTAAGCAAGGATTAGTTATTAAATAATAGTTCAGTGATTGATAGATGAACAACACTAGGGACAATGGATAAATATGAATGATAAGAATGAGAATAAAATCGAGCGATACGACAATAGAAGTAAGCTCAATTGACGTATATTTATTAAAATGGGACTTAATTTGTAACACCTTAAGACGATGAGGTATTGATTACACATCAATAGACAACAGACTGCAGGGCAAGAGGAGCAGGCTATTGAATAGCAGTGATTTACATACTATAAGACATTTCACGTGATTTCAGTCTTTGCTATATTCCATAGGTGGTCATTATATGAACAGCATTTTAGAACGATAAGAACAATTTTCTTCATTATTTCGCTAATGAGTGATTGTGACGTCAACACCATTTGCATTAAATCATTAATGTCTAAATATGTGGGTAGCCAGGCAACTGCTTTGTCGACAGATTTATCGTTATACAAACAGTTGTCGCCATCGGTGATTTTTTTTTATCCATCATATCGTATCAACATACTTTCTTGGGCAGTTTACAAATTTTTTTTTAAAGTTTTACCGTGTATTTGGACGTTACCCATAAAACGTATACTTGATATTTGACATTCATTCGAAGTATTTTTAAAGCGCTTAATTTCTATAATTCTTTTATTTCGTCCGTCAAAAACAACAAATTTCGCCTTTTTGAGCTCTTGTGTATAAATAAACTTAGCGTTTCTTTCAAACTTATTTAGTTTAAATGTTTTTAATATGATTTATCTAGGTTACCTGTGAACAAGAAGGGGGTAGAACAAACAAGTGCTGAACGTTGGAGATTTAACCAGCGGAATAACAGAATATATATATATATATATATATATATATATATATACCTTGTGCTATCACTTACGCTCATTTTATATTCTATTTCATTTGATGACTTTAATTAAAAGAATATTCTTGTGACGACCCACAGCTAAATGAAAAATTTGCTGTAATATTGCAACACTATTGCAGCAACATTGCTACAAACTAAAATATTGCAGCAATGAGTTTGCAGGCGTTTGCAAGAAAATTTTTCTTGCTGCTAATTTGCAGCCATATTGCAGCAAACTTGCTGCAAATTTGCAAGAAGGAATTGCAGACCTGATATTTTGCTAAGGGAAACATGGCGATATGTAATTTAATTTTATTGCCAACCCTGGTATACCCTTTTGAAATGGGGGACAAATTATTAGTTTCAAAAATTTCAAAAAGGCAAATCTGACGTCAAAAGAAAACACGAATAAGCATCTGCCGACGAGTGATGTGTACGGTTCAGTAAAAACATTACCAGCAACTACCCCTAGGGCATCCCACCCGGAAGCCGTGTGTATGCAGAATCATCAGTTTATAGAAACATCAATATTATCTTTCCTCTGAGTTCGGTGTTGGCTGCGTCAATGGCAACCTGACCTGAGTGACCATTACTGGGTGAGATGATAAGGTGTAACTGAACATGTTTTATTGCTGTTGGTGCTTGTTCATTCTGTTGCGTGAAAACATCGTTTGATCTAATTTGACATAAAGCGTAGAGTATAAACACGTTCCAGATTACTGTATTTATGTATGACTTCTTACCAAACAAGAATTCGTATTCCGAGAGGTTGAAAGATCCAGTTTTGCAGATAAGCTATCTTTGATATTTCAATACAATACATGCATGTTTATATTCACGGATCATTTATGCTTGAAGAAACAAAATCATAGACTCTGAAAACATTTTTTTTAGTTCTGTTTATGGTTTTAAACCAAAACAGTCTTATTTGTGCATATCAATTGTATAGTTCAAAAGCATAAAAGAGTTTCAATTTGTAGAAAACTAGTTATTTAAGTTATGGGAGATAATGGGTCAATCATACGTGTTTGCATTCTAGACACTGTAAATTTCTACAAAATTTGAGAGAGATCCTCATATAAAAATGAAACGAATCCCCTCTAGGATCCGTTTTATGAAACCTGATCTCTTAGCCCATGTGTCCATACTATGCGAGTGCTAGGTGAAAGTGTGCAATCGGAAAGAATCTATAAAAAGAGCAGGACAGCTCCTCTTACTCCATCATAAATACAATCTGCTGTGTAAACATTGACATATATAGTGTGGCTGACTGATGTATGGAGCTAGATATACGGAGTTGATGTTCCGGGCATTGTTAAATATAGGATACTAAGGTAAATGATATCGAGCGGGGGGCAAACAAACCAAAGGCAAAAGACAAGAGCATACTTAGGCTGTCATAAAACAAATGCATAGAGAATTAAGCAGAAAAAGTTGCCAATAGATCACTATATAACCGTCGCGGCAGCTGTCTGACGCATATTATTTCCCACAAGACTTTAGCACTAACCACCTATCAATTTCTCTGCTGTTTGTTGGGGGTAATAAATAGAGAAGGTCAATTTCAATAAATAATTTCTACTGATTGGTTTGTAGTCATTCTGCCGTGAAATATCGCCAAAATAGATCACTCTCCGTAAGCTCTTGGCCTATATTGTTTACTGATCGAAATCGGAGTACGAGAAAGAATCTGCTCCATATCCCATCCTGAAGAAAGTCGATGGAAACGAAAGCAGACATGAGTTTATTATTGTTCTTTTGGCACTGACCCTTGCTTAGAAACATACTACAGTATTGAAGGAATATAATCAAAATATATCCTAATTTTTAAGAACTTAATTTTACATTCACTTTGTTCCCAAGCGACTCTAACGCACCTTTTGCAGTATTAGGAACGTATAGGAAACCAAATAAACGCGGGACGAAAAGGCGCACGTTAACCAATTACAGTTTTGATTCAAAATAACTATATAACCAAAAGCACTGTGTTGCAAGGAATTGGATATGACCTGAAACATATTCTGATATGCAGGTACGGTGGCAGGTGTCGATCTTCCTTACGTTAATAGAGGATGGATTTAGAAGCAGCACCTGCTCAAGTATTATAAAGAAACTCGGGAACAAACTTGAAATAAAGCGTAACGACGCCTTTTTAACTCAAGATGTCTTATAAATTGCTGTTTGCCAATACTTCAGTGGCTCTTCAACATTATGAACACCAACGAGCAACTAGCAGTGCTGCTTGAACAGAAAATTCATGAAGTTTGAGCGTGCGTGCAAGTTCGTGTCTGCATGCATGCGTGATCGCGTAGTTTTGGTGCTGTAACACGTCAAAGCCCCTGTTACAACGGGCTTGCAACCACTTAGAGAATGGAACCTCTCCCTTCTCATAAATTTGCATACAAAAGAAAAAGGCTGCAACATTTAAATTTCTTTAACACTGAAGTATGAATTTGATGTTGATTATCAGTAATTTCAAAGCCCAACTCTGAAGAGGGTACATGAGAGTGGACAAAAATTGGTTTCCCAAGCAGCCACCAGCACGGGGGTTTAATCAAAGGGTAGGTCAACGGAGAAAAATAGATATATTGATGCTATAAAAACTGTAGTTAACTAGTCTTTTCTTAACTTTGTCTTACCAATCAAAAAATGTAATGATTTCAGATAAGGCAGGGCATCAGGAGTGGGATAAATCGATCAGCTGGGGATAAGTCAGCTAACAAAAAACACAATAGGGAAAGTGGGAGGGAGGCTGGGTAGTGGGCAGCAACCTAACCTCTGTATCTCTCTTAGCCCTAGGTACAACAGTCTTCAAGAGAAAACCTGAGTTGACGGTTATCACAACTCCCTTAATCTATTCCATGCATCATTAGATTTGTTAGCCTTGGATTCATAAATTTATTTCATGCTCCATTAGATTTGTTAACCTCGGATATTTCTGAGATGCTACCCGGCATTGCAACATAAACCAATAAAAGGGTCATAATGGTTTTATTTATGCATAATTAGAATAAGAATAGGTTTTAAGAAAAGTAATATATACTCCAAGCATGAGTGTGATATCTTCAATTATAAAAAGGTGATATAAAAATACAGTAGTTTAAACTAGATACAAACTAGTGTGTCTGTGGAATGTAATTAGTGACCATTGTAGTATACCAAAGAAAATTCCATTCAAGTAGCATGTAGTGGCTGTTACTTAATTAGTGCTGAATTAAGAATATAGAAAGAGGAAAGTATGCAAAGAAGATTTATTCACAAGGCGTACTCAGTTGAACCTCTCATCCATAATCTAATAAAACCCGCTTGCCTGGATTGAAGAAATATCAGGACTTTGTTGTTCTTTGCCTACCTCATTCCGAAGGACAATTAACGCAATAAACAACTAGAAGAAACCCACAATTAAAACCCCCGTGACAAAAGCACAAGAGTTTTTTTAATGTGACAGTTTCCATTTAATTCAAGTAAGCAATTTTCAAAGTTTAATTTAAAGCCCTGTTTTTTTTAAAAGAATTTTAAGAGTCACTGTATTTTAAAGATATGAGCATATGTAAACTTTCCTTCGGCCTCTGTGCAATCTTATTCAATTTCTGAGGCGGGGGTGGGAGGTTATCTCCATTTTTCCGATTTAAGTTTAAAGTTGGAACAGATTTCGCGATGGCTTTCATTATCATTGTTTTCCTATGAAACAGATACAGTCGGAATTCATGTCAGATTGACTTAGATTCCTTATAAGGTCAGCCAGTCTAATGCACCCAAATCATTTCATAAGCCACGCACACAGTATTATATGAACATTATACCAGTGTATAGTAGGGCCTACAGGACATGTTTAGACAAAACATAAGCGTTTTTTTCAAAATGTTCTACCAACGTTATATTTGTAACAAGCTTAGGGCGATAACGAGAATAAATCAAACAAGCTGATTGCACATTCATTCCATGTGACGTGATCCCGTGGCATGTAGCGTTACGAAGGGTGTGAAAATTATCAATATATAGTCAGGTGCGGTCCATCTTCAGCGTCTTTACTTAGGTGAATAAGGTGTTCCCTTTCAGCGAACACCTGCAAAACCCTCTAGTTGGTACGGATGTACAATTGAGTGCATCTCCAGAGAATGATTTAGGAATTTCTTGTGTATTTCTATTTGTGGTCACCAGTAGTATATGAGCCGGCGGATTATTTATTATTAATCAGAAGGACAGGTGCGCTTACACGGCTGGGCGGTGTTGTTAGCAAGTTGCTGTTCCGGTAATCATTTGGGTTACGTTTATGGATTAATCAAAGTTTTGTATGAATGCCAGTCCACGGAAGTAATTTTGTGTAGATTTTGTGTCGGGGGCATAAATGGTCAATAATCACTACTTGACAAGACATGGCCTGATTTGTATCAGCAGGGATTACATATGCAGACACAGCTACGTTAACAGAAATGATTCGAAATTCCCCCGGTGTTTTTACCGAAACCGGATCCCGAGCGAACGTGTTCTTCAGAAAGACGAAATGCTATTCAATTACAACTGCTGTAAGCTAGCCTTTGATTTCGAAATGCATACCCCGGTGATTGAACAACTGAACAGGTAAAACTTTGAATCAAGCCCAGGTTATTCTCTCGTATATTATGGAAATGGAACTATTAAAATAAATAAATCGGTTTTGGTCGTCCCTAACGTTAAATATTTAAACAAATCTACAAGCGGATCATCAACACAGCGTGTGCTTATTATTTCTCGCGGTTTGTTATGTGGCTCTATTTTGATATGACACCGGAATAATAATAATAATAAT